CCCGGCCTGGAACGTTTGCACACGAAGATGTTGGCATTCTTACCGGACAACTTTCAAAGTTCCATTCTCGCTGTGGGTAATGAGAGCAAGCCGGAAACAAAGGCTGCTTAAGTTTTTCATGTGAAGTGCTGCTGTTTAAAGTGGGACGTTATAGATATCATAGATGCTTGCCCTCAATAAAAGAGAGGGTACTGTAGCTTTGTTGTCATGGTGGTTATGAAGTGTTTTCTGCAAAATTCGGAGGAGCTTTTGTACAATCTGGAAAGTCCGCTCCATGAACTATATGACAAGCTAATCCTGGGCACATAGGAAATTCTTTCCGCTGGTTGTTACCCGTTACACGTTAAAACGATCGTAACCTTGTGGCGAACGACGGAAAAATCTCAAGATTTACTCTTGATCTATCTGCGCAATAGTCAAAGGGGGAATCGCATGAATGACTTAATTTTTCTGGAATTTGCAGGAATGAGTGAGAGTCGTTTGGAAGCAAGCACAGTGGAGAGAATTAGAGCACATCTAAATTTGGGGCGTAACACGGTAATTTCAGTAGGACCATTGTGAATTTGATCGGACAGTGTCGTTGTTGTAATGTAGTGCCGTAGTCACATCCCACCCCTTCTTTGCTGCGAACCTCACTAGGGCGTTAAGAGAGTTGCCGCCTGTACAGTGGAGTTTGTCAAGCGTAATGTGGGAGAAGTCCGTTTCCAAAGTGTACAGCCGGCCATCCCTCGTCCCCTATCGATGATTACCCGCAGAAGGCGAGCTTTGTCAGATTGGGCAGGGTCCATGTATCATTCTAGCATGTACCCGGAGCTATCCCAACTTTCATGGTGGCCGAGTAAAAGTTCCGGGAAAGGGTACGTAAGATTCGGAGTTTTTTATCTCTCCGATAGGGCCAAAGTTTAAAGTTGGCGTGCTTGAGTCATTTGGCGAAGCCTCTATCCATTGTGAAGTTTGCCGACGTTGTCACCAGTGCAATATTTACGGTTACTCTCCTACCTTCAGTTCTAAACTCCTAGGTCAAGATTTGTTAAAGGCATTATTTATTGCGGTAAAGTGAAGTTCTACAAGCGATGGAAGTCGTGAGGAAATTGTAGCTTGCCACGGAGATTGAATCACCTTTTCGGTCAGGTTGGTCCAGTCTACCTTCTTGTCGACTAAACATTGCGTTCTGGAGAAAAAAACCTACTGCAAGTGCCATCCTAGAAAGTTGGTCTGCACGTCAAAATTTTACGAATTTGTCCCTAGCTACATGATTATGAGTGTTCATTAAACTGTGTATTTAATTACGACCTTCTGAAATGGCCGTAAAACGGATCCTTCCGCTCTGCCTGAGTGCTGAGCGTACCGAGATAAACAAATCTAAAATCTTTGTAGGATTATCATTCATAAACATTTTTTGTATTAATGAATTTACGGTAGTAGGAGCGGAGGCCAAAAATGAGACAAAGGTTCCAACCGTCATGTAGTAAGTTATCGGAATCACGTTCCATTCGCAACAACATCAATAGCACCACTTGAAACCTCATAAATCGGCCCATCTACCAGTTAGTATTGGGGGGAAAAGAAGCCTACAAATACTTGTATATGCATGACGCATTTGAAGCACAATATCTAAATAAGATGGAGGAAGAGAATCTTGTGAAGAAACCGTTCAGTATGAGGTGTTTTCTTCAACGGAAATGATGCATTTAAGTACCTAGCAGGGATACAGGTCGACAGAGGCTGGAGGCAGAGGGGGGCAAGGGCAACAAATTCCAAATATTTTATACAAAGGCGTTAAATACATTATAGATACAAACAGAGTAACTTTATACAGAGGTGAGGCTATTAATGCTAGGCAGGCATGGAAAGAAGGGGACAGCGAAGGAGGGGGTGGTGGAATGAAAGAGCAGAAAAATTCTACTAGCTGACCTGCACATCAACTACGTTAGACCACTCGGAGGTGCGTTGGAACCGATCAATAGAGCGCAGAGCGAAGTAATAGACATTCTCCGGTTGCACACTTGTCAAAGTGCAAGCCATCGGCAACGGTAAAGCCTCAATGGTACCGACCTATAACGAAAGGTAGGCATTAGCATTAATACAGGAAAGGCTCCTTTGAGATTGTGCTAGACCGATTAGCTTCCATGCTGCCCAATCAGTTACTGGATGCCTTAGTCACGTTTGGAAATGTATTCAATCGGGTTACTCGATAACATCATGCAGACGATTGTTAATATCTTGGCGGAAGAGTATGAACTGAGCCTTATTGGGGGATTCGTTCGTCTGTTAACTGATAGCACTAATACACAAAATTAGTAATCCAAAGTTCAATTTCACCATATAAAGTGAGAAAAAAACACTTATGGACTTAGCTTTCATTGTGCTGCCAGGTTAAGTACCATTTTTGAAGTATTACTAGATCAGCCATGAAGTCAATCTTTGAGATTTTTTGTCGAAAATTATAGAACCCAGAAACATCTTTTAAACTTGTGCAGCAAGCACCTTTGATTCATAATGTATGAAGCATAATAGATTTTTAATATATCCCACCTCTACATATAAGTGTGGATAAACGGACGATTCCAAAACCATAATTTAAAGAATATAAGAAAGGTTTAGAGGCATTTTTGAGAATTAGTGATACTTTACTAAGCCAAATTCATTACTATCAAAAACTTTATAAAAAGCAGATTTTACTTGATTGTATATTAAAATTAAAATCAATTAGGGCATTTGGGGTTTTATAAAACCAAATTTCTCCGCAACAATCTGCACATTTGAGCAAACCAAAGAACTATACCCGTATACAAATTATACCATTCCATCTGAAAGAATTTGATTCGATTCAATAAATCTGTAAAAACAAGGAATTCAACTTCTTTCATAAACAGTTAAAGATTGCAAATAAACATTAAATCTTGTCGCAGCCAACAATGGTGACCAGGAGACAAGTGTTGAATACATATGACAAACGCAGTCTCAACTATGGTAGCGAAATTTGCGTTCAGTAAAAATTAGAAAGTTCGTAAAGAAGCTTACCTTTTGCCATACGTCGCTGGATAGTGGAAAACGAGGATCGACATCTGAGCTTGCGTAGCTGTATAACTCGTAGAATGCTGCCGGTTCGAACGAAAATTCCACAGAGTCAAGTTCCCATTGAAGGCAAATTCCTACGAAAAAAAAGATTTTAAAATAATCCAAAAGGCAGGAGTCATTAAGTCGACATTTCGAAGTCTAAACGAAAAATATGGGTTTATTGTAAGCCAATAAAATCTACAGACTTCATTTGACGTGGAAATAGGAAGTTTAAGTGATATTGAATGGCATGTTCAACTGGTTAAAGTGGAAGTGACAGGAGACGCACAGAAGTCTTCGGGACTACTTTATGTCCATTATCATTAAGCGCCTACTTTAAAATAGCATCTGGCACTAAAACTAGGTTTCAAATAATGTGAAGAAGAAAAGTGGAGAACACACGTAACAATATAACCACAGCGTAGGCTTAACTCATACTGTTATGCAACTTACTTCAGAAAATAAGCCAAGAAGTCAAAGAGAACAAGATCACAAATGCATAACACAAAAGGAACAAATCAGTCTAATTCTACTTAGAGATTCAAAATACATTGGAAATCCAATGAGGCGCACAATCAATTTACTGGCAAAGAATAATAAAAAGCAGCTTGTTGAAACATATTTCAGATATTGTAATTGACCAGTCTGAACTGAAATTCCCACAACTTTTTAGTCATTAAAATGCCCAACACCACCTTTGCATACATAAAAATCAAACCATCCATTTAACCTCCATCTAGCTACATGAAATAGAGGAAATCGGATTCACCCTCGGAAGATACAGAAATAGAAAGTAGCAACGGAGGCTGCACAGAGATGGACAACGCATTAAGGGACGACGCTGGAAGGTCGCACGCGGGCAAGGGCGCGATGGAGGCAACCGTCTGAGGTGCCTCGACAGCCAGATGGGTGGTGGCATAGGTGACAAATGGGTTAGGAGCCGCTTGTGAGACTTGTGGCGGGGACATTTGTGGCTTCTGGGCAAGAGGGTAGGAGGAAGAGGATGGCAGGTTCGGTGATATTGGTAGAGTTCCAGTGGCTGCGGAATGGAGGAAAAGTGAAAAGTAATTTGGTGGGAATGATGCAGATACGTGTTGGTAAGGAAAATGGGAACCCACCAATGTATGCTGTCGTAGGCGCTTGAGTTGTTGCCTCGGAGAGCTGTTGGGACTGAGGCGGCGGAATGACGACGGTATTCAATTCCAGAGGATGATCCACCGCTGCTACTACAGGTTTGGGAGCAGGGGGCATCTAAGGTGAAGAAATAAAGGCTGAAGCTGATAAACTATAACAAAAATGAAAAGCCCAGAGCTTGATAAAAATGTCCAAAAAAGTGATGAAAATTTGACATCGTGACAATATTGCCAGATCTCTGGATAGATATGTCGTAGATATAAGACAATATGGTAGATTATGAAAGCATTTACCACTTCCTTCGGGTTTTCCTCAAGTAACCCTTTCCACCAAAATTTAAGCACTCGTATTCTACCACGCTCTTTAGATTAGTTTAGAACTTGATGACTACGAACACGCGATTCCAACGATGCTCTAGATATTCTGTACCCTTAAAACAATTTTGCCCTTGACACATATATTCCAAGGAATAAAGAGTCAAATTGGTGAGTGCGATTAAGTCAGTCATGTCCTCCTCTCCTCAAACCAAACACTCAGTGACAGGGGAGACCAACGCTGAACAGAAGCTCCTTAAAGAGATCATTATTAGGAAACACCAAGGTCCATAAAACGACGAAAGCTAATCATACATTAGCAGCTTATACCTCATGAGACTTCACTGCGTATAAATAATCTCACAGCAAAGGAAACAGAATAGTAGCAACAGACGGAGCTAAGGAAGAGGAGTAGATTGAAAATAAGACTGTGAATTGGGAAGTATGTGATGGCAGACAATTACGCTATAACCTCGATACGAAATAGGCATGACTGTAATTGTGCCAGACAAACCCATAACTGCCAAGCATCCACCATCACGATCGCCAAAGTAATCATAAACTCAGACTTATACAGGGCTTTACAAACAAGCCGATTTTACAAAAATAACTCAGGATGATTTTGTCGTAATTGGTGGAAGTCATACTAGTGCGACAGGTTAAAGGATAAAAATCGTAAAACAATCCAAATACAACACTTTCCGTAATTTCTAAGACAGTTTTTAGGCCCACATTAGCAGATACAAAACAAAGGCTTTTAATTAGGAGTAAAAAGGATGAGGCTATTGCCGATAAAATCAAAAAATATAAGGCCTCATGCATTACATAAGTGACTTAACCTACACTTTCGATAATAAGCGCTTCAACCTTTCGCGAGATGGTTTCCAGTTTCCGGATACGTTTCTGCAATTCTTGGGTCACTTTTTTCAAATAGTTAACCTCCTCAATAGAGAGAGACACCATACTGAGTAGCCCTTTCACAGCCTGTGTAATAGAACCTTGGAGCTTCAACTTAATTGTTCCTTTCAGACGTTCCAATATTACGGGGTCCTGAAATTCGCTCCCAACAGTTAGCTTGGCAATACTTCCAATACATGGGCCAGTGAGCAGTTTCGACGTATTGGCTGCGTTGACTCCACCTCTGCAAGCTAACTGGATCCCAGTAGCGCTGGCTTCGAGCAACATTTTCTTCCTCAAAGGCTCATTCATCTCAGCCTCGCGTTCGGTGCTTTTTTCCGCGTGGGCTGGCATCTGCAACAAATCCGTTTGGTTCGAAGGAAAATTATTGGATGAAATCATTATAAAGGGAGAGGATCATGCTCCGAGGAATATAATACACTGAATCAAACAGAATATATCAATGGCGAATCCGAAGAATACTCAAGATGCTATTGGCTAATGCGACTCTAAACCAAAGAATGAATTTTGCGACCAATTTTATCAGCATTGTGATCTATTAAAACAAAAGCAAGATAAAATCATCTAAAAGTTCAAATTATAACAGCATAAAAGGTAAGTCTTCTGGTTATTTCGAGTTAAAAACACGTTTTTTGTTGACTTGCTATCATTTTTCAATAGAGGTATTGTGATCGTTCTCTTATATGGATAAAACACTGATACATTCTGGTTTCTGCAATAAAGACCACCTGTGTCGCCAGTGACTTTGCATACTCAGCGCGATAACGCTCTTATCACTTATTATTTTTCCTGAAGTATTGATCACGTGTATCCTTTGCATAACATGTACTAACTTTTCAGATGATCAGGTAATCTACTCACTATTAGACCATGGGGTTTTTACGATTTAAACTGTTATTCTCAACTTTCAGAACCATATGACTGATGAGAGTATCTCGTCAACGCTAAAAGCATGATCAGACTTAAGGGAAAGTAGGAGAACATTTCATCAGTTCCTCCACCATTAAAGATTTCAGATACTCAATTGTAATACGATGGTGGCTTATCCCTCGGTATTGGTGTGGCGTCGCTTTTGTACTTTGAATTAGCCTTTTTGCTTCTCGCTAGTTGGGCTGGCCTTTGGGCCATGCTAATAGCCCGAACACCTTCTCTGTGCTGAATATATATTTTGCCCGAGTATTGTGTCTTCTTTCGTCTTCTGGGAGTCTCGGGACGCTACACAATTGATAATGAATTCCTTACTATTTTATGTACTTTCTGCATAGCTTGCTTCATCTTTTGCAATCTGAATGTTGTCTTGAGGGTGCCTAAGTTTTGTACTTCGTTAAGGCCAGGAAAGTCTTGCGTATATTGGCGAAAAATTGGTGGTCGGGGATGGCACTTTTATTGGTGAGCATGTGCTGATTCTATGGTGGCAGATTCATTTGATAAAGAAATCATTGGCGACTGCTTCAGCATTCAGTGCTTTCAGAGATACTGTGTAGCCCCCTAAGACTTCCTTGAAGGCGAGAGAAGGCATTGGGCGGAACGTATGTATTTGATACACAGAAGGGCTTGGGGTCACTGGAATTGCAAAGGTACAATAGCCAAGACACAAAGTGGCCCTTTACAAATTCAGGAGTTAAACAAACAACGAACACAATTCGTAAGAGTGCAGCATCAGTGAATGCATGCACAGACT